CTTGCGAGCGGAGCGCTCTAACCACTGAGCTACAGGACAGATGTACCATAACAATAAGAACTCTGGGTTATGGCGTTTGCTCCCAGTTGACTCTATCTGCTCTACGTGGTTCCTGCCTATTGTGTTAAAGCTGAAATTGACTAACTTTCCCAAAAGCTTTCTTCTGTTCTCATGAGGGGACTTGAGGTAGAGATCTTTTATCCACAGCTCGGCTTTTACAAACACAATGCACAAGTTGCAGTGCTGTGCCGGAAGGCTGCTTTTGGGGACAACACAATGTTTTTTGTTTCTAAATTAAACTGGAATATTTAATAAAGGCTTTTACATTTAAAAAATGTCTTACAATACTTCATGGCAGCAAATTAAGAGACTTTGCATTTTTAAAAGAACTTGTATGTTTAAAGCACCTTTTTGCTTCCAGGTGTTTTGAAGCACTTCATACTTAATTACAGTCAGTGTAGTAACTGTTTTTGTAGCAGCTAATTGCACAGCAACATTTTAGAAATAGCTATGAGGTGGCTGATCACGGTATCTGAAGGAACGTTGGCCACAAACACGCAATTTTTTTGTGGGATCTCTAACATTTACCTGAAACATTCAGGGCTGATTCTAATTTAACATCCCAACCAAATGACAGATTAGGAATACAAAATAAACTTTTCATAAATTATGAATTTGAAAGATGAGATCTGGATCCTGGTTGAAACCATCTGAAAATATGACAATGAAAATGACATTCACTCGCCTGAAGGAATATCCTTTTCATAAGGGAATATAGCTTTTCTTTGATGTTCTGATAAGAGTACAGAGATAGGCTGAACATAAAAATATGTACCAATTAACAAAGCAAGGAGGTGTCCTTCCATTGTGTCCTTCCACCTCTGAGCCTTGGAACATTTGACTTTTCTGCTGTAATTGTTCTGTAATGAATTTAAATGTTAGTTTTTAAAGCAATTTATGACTTCTCAACTATCACCGACATATATAGAATTACATGGACTGTGCAACAGGGAAACAGGTCATTTGACCCAACTTGTCTGTCCTTGCTAAAACCTCCTAATCTCCCCTTCCAACACCCATTTTATTCCCTTCTCCATCATTGTATGTATTAAGCTTCCTCTGAAAAACATTGATGCTTTCTGCTTCAACCAGGTGGTCTTAGCAAGGTTACATTGTATACCAAGTTGATTATAATAATAATAATCTTTGCATTTGATATAGCGCTTTTTCACGTCTTCTAGACGTCACAAAGCGCTTCACAGAATGTACTGTAAAGTGAATTGACTGTATATTTCTGCGCAAAATGCGGCAGCCAATTGCGCACAGCAATGTCCCACAAACAGTCATGGATTGAAATGACCAATTTTTTTTTCTTGTTTTTTTTCTTGAGGGATTATTATCAGGCGTGTGGAGTAAGGAAACTTGCCCAGGGTTTCATCCTGCCGGGAATCGAACCCAGGTCTCTTGCTTGCGAGCGGAGTGCTCTAACCACTGAGCTACAGGACTTCAGGATTATTATCAATTGTAGAAAACAAATGGCAGGATTTTAAAAACCTTGCCTGAAATAATTAAAGTGAGGTCTTCAAATATATCATGGAGAGGGCAGTAACAACACAAATGTTGAATAAAAAACATAAACTGGCAATTTTATTTCCTTTTATTCCTTTTATTTCCTTTCTGTTTCTAATAGAAGACTGATATTTTGTAAAAATCTAACAATATTGTTATGAGAAGAAGGAGCAAAGGAAATACTGAAACATTAAATTACAGTGTATCATAAGATCCCAATACTGTAGGTTTCAAGAGTAACAGAATTGAAGAAGCTGAAAGGATTGAGCAAAACACTTTGCTGAGATTTAGAAAAGGTAATACAGGAATCAGAGAGTCATGTGAAGGAACAGGTTCTACCAATGATTGACTCATGGTAATGATAATAGAAGTGTTTGAAGTTCGTGGTGTAATTGTAAGGAATTTTAATATATTAGGTGAGAAAACAACAGTCAGTCACAGACAACTTTAACAGTAACAGATGCTTGATGGAATTAATATGGTTGTCTGGAACACGGAAACAGTTGAAGAAATTGAACTGCAATAATAAGAGACAACAGATTGTACTCCCAACAACTTCTGATCGGGAAATATCTTGGGAATTTCCTTGTGTAGGTGGGATGCATAGAACTCTCTGTTTTGGTTCGGATTCTCTTAAGCATGGTGATTGGTTTCTGCAAGTGCCAGACACCATTCTGACCAAAAAAGGATCAACAAATAATGGTTCAATTGCAATTAAAATTACATTCATTACACAGAATCTACAGCATCAAAGCAGGCCATTCAGCCAAGCTAGTCTATGCAGGTGTTTATATTCCACATTAGCCTCTGCCCATCCTCATCCCTTCTCTCTCGCCTCCCCAAATACCCCTCTATTCCTTTCTTTATCATGTATCATGCTTACATCTGGGCTAAAATAGTAATCTTTTTGTTACCTGTGTGTGATAGGATT